TATATCTATCTATCTATCTATCTATCTATCTATCTATCTATCTATCTATCTATCTAAAGTCTAATATGTAAAGTATCCCCTTGGGAGTTCGACTGGGAGACTGTGAGTTCAATCACTCACTATGTCGTGCGTTGACCACCAGGGGGCAGCGCGGAACATGGCGGGTGACCAACATAGGTGGCTGGGCACTAAGAGAGTGAGGGAAGGAGGAGGCGGGGAGCAGGGAACCTGATGGGCCCTGATCACCAGCCGGGCCTAGGGACCCTATCCATGCCTCCAGTCCTTAACATATAAATAGTTCATACAAACAAATATCTAGAACTTGATTGCTATTACTAAAATTATAATAGCAAAATAGGATAGTGAAGAATATGAGTGAACAATTTTCAAAACAAGAAGATGGGTAATACACAATCAATATTTTTCATCCACAATAGAGAAATGCAACTTAAAATAAGAAACATTTGGGCCAAAACCAGTTTGGCTCAGTGGATAGAGCGTTGGCCTGCGGACTGAAGGGTCCCAGGTTCGATTCCGGTCAAGGGTATGTACCTTGGTTGCGGGCACATCCCCAGTGGGAGATGTGTAGGAGGCAGCTGATCGATGTTTCTCTCTCATTGATGTTTCTAACTCTCTCCCTTCCTCTCTGTAAAAAATCAATAAAAATATATTAAAAAAAAAAAAAAAGAAACATTTGGAATGCACTGCACCCAGTGTTAGAGGAAATGCTCATTTGCATAACCTTTCTGGACTCAGTTTGGTAATACATTATCAGTAATCTTCAAAAAGTCCTTTAATTTAACAATTTCACGTGTTATCTGTCATTATGAAACAATCAGAAAGACAGGAAGTTGTGTGCCAAAATACTCATCATAGCAATATTACATAGCAAAAAATGAAAACAATGTAATTGTTCCATAATGGGTTAATAAATTAGGGTATACACATAAAATGAAGTAAGATGTACCATTAAAAATAGCATTTTTAGGTCTTAGCCGGTTTGGCTTAGTGGATATGGCATTGGCCTGTGGACAGAAGGGTCCAGGTTTGATTCTGGTCAAGGGTTGTGGGCTAGATCTCCAGTAAGGGGCGATCCTGCAGGAGGCAGTGGATTAATGATTCTCTCTCATCATCATTGATGTTTCACTCTCTCTCCCTCTCCCTTCCTCTCTGAAATCAATAAAAATATATATTTTTTAAAAAATAGCATTTTTAGTATTTTACTAATAGTGACATGGAAATGAGCGGGATAAAATATGGCATATGTATATATGAATCGAATTTGTTTAAAATACACACAGAAAGACATGCATTCAAAAAGGACTTCTTCAGATTTCTAGAATAAATATGTACTTATGGTCTTTATACTTTAAAAAACTATTTTTAAAAATAAGACAAAAAGAAAACGTGTCATATTGTTAATGATATATATTCATATTTTTCAGTATTTCTAGTGGTTTGACTTGCCTAAATTTTAAATTTTATTTGATTTGTGTATGATTCTAATCATGGAAGTAGAATTCAGAAAATTCGTTAACTAATTTCAAATAAGTTTTTTAAATAAAATTTTTATTTTATTTTTTGCATTTATTATTTTTTAATCTTTATTGTTGAAAGTATTAGATATGTCCCCTTCCCCCCTATTGACCTTCATCGCCCTATTGTCTGTGTCCATGGGTTATGCATAAATGCATACAAGTTCATTGGTTTATCTCTTCCTGACCACACACCCTCCTCTGCCTTCCCTCTGCGGTTTGACAGTCTGTTAGATGCTTCTATGTCTCTGGATCTATTTTTGTTCATCAGTTTATGTTGTTCATTAGATTCCACATATGAGTAAGATCATGTGATACTTATTTTTCTCTGACTGGCTTATTTCACTTAAATAAAAATTTTAGATGCAAAATATAACAGGAAAACAAAAATTGAACCAGTCATTATACCTGGAATTTTTTATGTTAAGCATAAGGTGTCACAAATGAATCATAAGTGGGGTGCTTCTTTTAACATATACTAGCTGTTTATAGAATGAAGCATAAAGCTTGAAATAAATTTAGGATGTTTAAAAAATAAGTCCTTCATTATTTCTTCAGTATCTCTTTTCCCTTGGGATCCTGCATCCCATTATGTAACTTTTCTCATTTTCCAAATGAGTTAAGCTTTATTTTTGTCCAAAGTATTTGAAGTGCTTAGTAATCATTTCTTCTATTAATGCTGTGCTCTCAATTTTTTTATTTTTTGCTTTCTTTCTGTTCATTCTTATCTTTAACAGGGTCTTCATCTTTTAGCCTGAAAACTCTAGGCATTTCCAAGGCCCAGTTCTTGCCCAGTGCTCTAAACTTTGTATATTTTTATCTTCAGAGAGCAGATTCATTTTTAGGTGTTAAGTACTACCATAAATATGGCTTACTTCCAGGAACCTAATTTCTTATTCTTTCTTTAGTTTTGTTTTCAAATATTAAGTTTTTTGCCAAATTTGAAATCAAATGTTGCCAAAAAATAGAACACATCCTTTTCCTTATGCCGGCATCCATTTCTAGTTTTCCTTTCATTGACGGTCATATCCAGTATCTTAGGCCTCTAGACTAGTAATTCTGACCTTCTTTCTCACCCTTATTCCCCTCAGGAAATTTGCCAAACTATAAAACAAATGGTCTTTCATTGAAACACATTTTATATTGAAGTGCTTATTACAATTTGCTGGAAAAGTCTCCTAATGAAATGGGTGTCAGTCGAAAATATGCTGGTTTTTATCTCTCCAGTTCACACTGTTACATAATCAGAGCTCTGATGCTATTTTCCATAAATTAGGAATTGGTTCCATTTTTAAAAATCTGTGTATTTCTATAGCATATACTTCTAGTACACAGACTAAATTTATAATGTAATATGACTAGTAGGAAAAATAAAGAATATTGGAATATTATTTATTTCCAGAAAATGAATACATATCAAAGATTTTATTTAACTTACTAAGGGAGCCAAGCAGATATTACAGCAAGTTCAAAAGAATTTCTTGCATTTTTATTTATAACACACTGACTTTTGGGAATTTGAATTCTCTTTTTTAAAGAACAATACCCATTTATTTGTGCAAATTCTATTATTGTGAGGTCCCTTTCTCATCTTTTCTGGAAATGTTTTCTTATTCATAGAAAAAGCATCTGTGTGTCTTCAGTTGAAATGCTTTCCAATGAGGCTTCAACTAATTTGGGAAAGAAAATCAGGAGAAGCCAGTTAATACTATATAGTTAATACTATATTTCTTAACTAAAGTTTACTTTATTCTAAAAAGTATTTAGTACACACTTTTTTAGTACTGGTGATACATTATAAGATTATAAGAGCTTACAATTTGAGTGGAGAAAAAAGACTCAACTTCTTAAGAATATATATATATATATATATATATATATATATATATATATATATATATATATATAATTATCCTATATAATAAATAGGTAATATGCAAATTAACCCTCACATCCTCACAAGATGGCTGCCTATGACCAGGCTAGCAGGGAGGTTAATGAGGGACGACCAAAGGACTGAATAAGCAGGCTGCGTGGGGCGACCAGGCCGGCAGGAGGGTTAGTGAGGGACAACCATACGACTGAACAGCAGGCTGTGTGGGGCAACCAGGCTGGCAGGGGGGCTGTGAGGGGTGATCAGGCTGGCACAGGGGGCAATTGAGGGTGACCGGGCCAGCAGGGGGGACAGTTGGGGGTGACCAGGCTGGCAGAGGCAGGCAGTTAGGGGTGACCAGGCCAGCAAGGGGGGTAGTAAAAGGTGACCAGGCTGGCAGGGGGTGCAGTTAGGGGTAACCAGGCTGGCGGGGGGGGGGTGCAGTTGGGGGTGACCAGGCTGGCAGGGGGGGCAGTTGGGGCAACCAGGCTAGCACGGGGGACAGTTGGGGGCAATTAGTCTGGTGGGGGGGGCAGTTAGTGGTGACCAGGCCGGCAGATGGGGGCAGTTGGGGGCGACTTGGCTGGCAGCAGGAGGCAGTTAGGTTCGACCAGGTAGGCAGGCAGGTGAGCGATTAGGAGCCAGCAGCCCAGGATTGTGAGAGGGATGTCCAACTGCCAGTTTAGGCCCGATCCCCGGTATTGGGCCTAAAACAGCAGTCGGACATCCCCCAAGGGGTCCCGGATTAGAGAGGGTGCAGGCTGGGCTGAGGGCCCCCCCCCCCCCCGCACAAATTTTGTGCACCAGGCTTCTAATGTGTGTGTGTGTGTGTGTGTGTGTGTGTAAATAATTCACTTGGTATTCATTCATCAGATTCTTACTGTAGGCAGGGCACTGTGCTGGGTCCTGGCCTCTGTTAGGGAAGCGTATGATACAGATTTGCACATATTATAGTTTTTGCCCTTTAAAATGAGCTTATGCTATGGTTAGCAAAGAAAGTACATCAAATGCTAAGTATAAGTATATGATGATACATAAGCATTATAAAATAAGCAGTATTGGGAGTTCAAACATGGGATAGATTATCATCAGCTGGTACAGTTAAGGTTAAGTTTTTGCTGAAGAAAGTGAGTTAAAAGGGTAATTTCAGAGGATGAGAAAGATCTAGATAAAAAATATCAGAGCTGACTTAGACTCTTAATGAAACAATTTCTTCTCTTTTCCTTAATTTTAAGTTTAGGCAGAACTATATTTATTATCTCTATTAATGGAATGCAGGAAACATAGGTTTTTAGTCAAAGATCTGCCATTAATAAGCTGTGTAATCTTGGATAGTCAAGACTTTTAAAGTAACAGAGAATCTTAAAATTTTCAGTTGTTTATCTAGGTTAACCCCTCAGTGCTTTTGATATTTTCAACTATAAAGTTGGAATAATTAATTTCTTAATTTCACTGCATTATTATGAAATGAAGTTCTGTAATATAAATTTAAGGTGTCATCATAGCTATCTTTCAGATGACTGAACTAGTTTGGCAGATTCAAGATATATATTCTTTAAAATTTGTTTTTATACCAAAACTTTTACTTATAGATTGAAAACTGTAACTATGCAGTGGAACTTGGGAAGAATAAGGCCAAATTCTCCTTGGTTGGCATTGCTGGGCAGGACCTAAATGAAGGAAATTCAACACTGACACTGGCATTGGTATGGCAGCTAATGAGAAGGTAAAGGCTGCGATGTTTATAGCAACACTGTGGATTTCTTTTTAAAAATCCTTTGAACTAAAGTGTTAGTTCATTTGGAAGAATAACAAACACAGAATAAATATACTACAAAAATATTAATTTTTAAATGATTGTTGATACTATATTCTTTGTAAATCCTTTTTAAATAGTGGATAAATCTCTAGAAACAATCACTATTCTTAAAAACTGCATTGAATGGAGTTGTTTTAATTTTTTTAATACCAGATAGTAGTTTTTGTTTCTCATTACTGAGCTTTGTAACTTTGGATTGTAACTAAGTGCAAAAACCAGCTTAAAATTAAAAATAGTTGTTAGAATTGAATATTTCTTAAATATTTATCTAAATATTGATATAAATGACGTGGGAGCAGATTTCAGCCCTTTCAGTCTCAAATATACATCTTTTCTGTTACAGGTACACATTGAATGTGTTATCAGATCTTGGAGAAGGTGAAAAAGTCAATGATGAGATTATAATTAAATGGGTCAATCAGACTCTTAAAAGTGCAAACAAAAATACTTCTATTTCCAGCTTCAAGGTAATCAAAGCTATTTTAAAAATTTTTGGTAAGAAATTAAGGGTAGGAATAAACTTTATTGAGAATTACATTGGTTTAGTTTCAGGATTACATTAATGTTATATCTCAGGATCACAATTTGTGAGCTTAGGCATACTAATTATTTGGCATGTGTAAACCAAAACTGTACAGTGTGAATTCTTATATTTTTGATTCGTTGTCCTATTGAGTATAAATGCAGGTTAATGTTATCAAATTCTGATATTCTAATCTTAAAAAGAAATAGAATAGAGCAATAAAATAGAATTGTCAGATGAAAAAGAAAGCTAAAAAGCCATTGTTTATATAGGATCTGTAATGTTTTGTGCTCCCTAGCAGCAGTCTCAGAATTGTATTGACATCATTTCCAAGGCATAACAGAGCCAGCCAAACCAATTCAAGTGGGAATTGAAAAAACTGGTAGGAAAAGAAAATCTTATCATGTGGCTTCATAATGGCACTTAATGCTCACTTCCAAGCATTTGTGGATGATTCATAAAGCACTCAAAATATAATTTGCACATGCATACCCACTAATTGTCATGCATTTCCATTGTTTTGCTTTTGCATGCAAGCTGATGTTAGCTACAACTAAGCATGTCTGCTTGTATCCATTCATTCAGTGAGCCTTGTGTTTGTAATTTCATTATAAGTGAGAAATCAGCAATTTGTATTTATGTAATAAAATAAGAGTGCAAACAGATGAATCCCTAAGTTCTCCTAAGACTTATCTATCCATCTTTATTCTCTTCTTTGCCTTTGCTCTATATGTTTAACAACATTGTAGAGTAGAAGAAATGTCAGAAATTGATAAATTCAATCTTCTCATCTTTACCTAAACTGAGCCCCAAAGTGGTTTTAATAGGATAGCTCAGTGATTGGCAAACTGTGGCTCTCGAGCCACATGTGGCTCTTTGGCCCCTTGAGTGTGGCCATGAAGTTTCAATCGCACTCTACGTGCGCGCCTGCACGTGGTATTTTGTGGAAGAGCCACACTCAAATGGCTGCAGTTTGCCGACCACTGGAGCTGGATTTTGGCAGAGATATTGTCTGAGTCCCGGTGGTTCAAGTGTGTATTTTCTTTTCCATCTTGGAAGGAACTAATGACATTGAGTTTTTATTGTTGCTTATTAAAAAAAAAAAAAGAATTTCAGTCCATGATTCGTCTTTTTACATTTTAGACATAAAACACAACATAGAAATGTAAAATAGGAAAGGAGACATGTAAAATTCTCCAATTGACAGTCACTCATTAAAATTGTTATACTGTAACTTGATGCATTTGTACTTTAATTTATAAAAAACAATTTGTGTATAATCAAATAAAATACAGTCAGAAAACATTTAGGAACAGATTAATAAGTTTTTATTGAGCTTTTGCCAGTAACATTTCTAGGCAAAGAAGAAGATATAGAATATAAGAAATTATTTAGCCCTCAGAGTGTTCACCATTTACTTGAAAGGCAAATTTGTATAACTGAGAAGGTAATGATATTATACTCATTAATTAATGCAACTACTATTATGGATAAACCTAACTGATCGTTTCCAACTGAATGGTCAGTGAAGAGTGATGAAGAAAGTTGGATTTGATTTGAGCACCATGGAGAGGAGGGATTTGAATTGGTGGAGAATAAGAGTGGTGTAACAAGTTAGAAGGGGTCCATCTTGAATAAAGGCAAGTCTGAGAAGATTAGGAGAAATAGTTTGGCTAGAGAAGCAGGTTCCTAAGGGATACAATGCAAGATATAGGCTGGCTTAATATTGTGGAGAAATCTGGCCTTAATAAAGAATATTGGTAAGTAATGTAAGAAGAGTGACTATTTTAAGAATACTGTTCTGCATGTGGTGAGCAAATGGCTGGAGGAAGAATAGTTTAAATCCAAGGACATTATATAAGAAGCTGAGGCTGAACTCAGGTATGAAGTAAAGGATCTGGAGGTAGGGTGGTCACTGAGAATGTTAAGAATGAATAATATTTGCTATTGTAAAATAATAGGTATGATTTGGCTTCTTGATTTAGGGAAACACTGCAGAGATTTTTCAAATCAGGTTAAAACTCCTGATTTGAGGGCCTGGATAAATGGAAAACAAAGTATAACAAAAATGGGGATGTCATGAGGTTCAGCTGCTTTCTGGAAAAGAAGATGAATTCAGTTTTAAGCTTGTTGAATTTGAGGTAATTTTCAGGAAGTGAGGAGCTGGATGAAAGGAGATATCAAAACTGGGAACACAGCCTGGCTGGTGTTGCTCAGTAGTTGAGTATTGACCTATGAATCTGGAAGTCACGGTTCGATTCCTGGTCAGGGCACATGTCCAGGTTGTGCTTTCAATCCCCAGTAGGGGGTGTACAGGAGGCAACCAATCAATGATTCTGTGTCATCATTGATGATTCTATCTCTCTCTCCCTCTCCCTTCCTCTATCAATAAAAACTTAAAAAAAAAAAAACCGGAAATACATACTTGGTGATCAGTTGAATAGAAGAAATAGTTGAGAATGGGTGCACACAAGCTCTTTAAGGGAGAGAATTCACTGAGAAAAGTAGACTTGAGAGTATGGTTTTATTTAGCACTAGGCGGCAGAAGCATACTGTGGAAGTGCTTGGCATTTAGTAGGTGCTTGACATAAAACTCTAGATTGTAAATAGTTAAGAAATTTGGCAGTGAATGCTAAAAATAGTTGGGGTTGGAGAGGTTTTTTCCAACTGTAGAAGGCATTATAATTGAAAGCCATAAGTAGTACTAGCAAGAACCATAACTAAGTCAGTGCTATACCTAGAAATTTCAGAAAAGTCAAGTTTACCCTTTTTAGTTATCAAGTAATTTTCCCTCACAAAGAATATCAGGAGGCAGTATATTAGCCAATAATAATAATCATAATTGCCATTTATTGAGTTCTATGTGTCACTATGTTAAACACTTTACACATTATTATTTCTTTTTTCCACAACTCTATAAATAAAAAGATGAGCATTAGAAAAATTATAACATGTCCACTGTCATCCTGTATAATAAAAGCCTAATATGCTAAGTGTCTGGTCGTCCATTCAACCAATCAAACCGTAATATGCTAATGATATGCTAAGGCCACTCAACTGCTGCTATGACGTGCACTGATCACCAGGGGGCAGACGCTCAATGCATGAGCTGCCCCCTGGTGGTCAGTGTGCTCCCACAGGGGGAGCTCTGCTCAGCCACAAGGCAGGCTGACGGCTGCCAGTACAGCGGTGGTGGTGGGAGCCTCTCCCGCCTCCTCAGCAGCACTAAGGATGTACGACTGCAGCTTAGGCCTGCTCCCCGCTGGCAAGTGGACATCCCCCGAGGGCTGCCAGGCTGCCAGACTGCCAGAGGGATGTCTGACTGCCAGCTTGGGCCCGATCCCCCAGGGAGCGGGCCTAAGCCAGCAGGTGGACATCCTCCAAGGGGTCCCAGACTGCAAGAGGGCATAGGCCGGGCTGAGGGACCCCCCCGAGTGCACAAACTTTTGTGCACTAGGCCTCTAGTGTATGTATATATGTGTATATATATATATATATATATATATAGAGAGAGAGAGAGAGAGAGAGAGAGAGAGAGAAATATGTGAGGTAATAGCTGTGTTAATTAACTAGGTGGGAGGAATTCTTTCACAAAGTATAGCATCAAATTTACACTTTAAATATCTTACAAGTTTGTCAGTTATACCTCAGAAAGCTAAAAAACAAGTCAAAACGGTTTTTCCCAAACTTAAAAAAACCTCATAAATATGTAAATAAGTAATCAAAATACAGCACAATTAAGCCACTTGTCTGTTTTTGAATCACCACAGAAATATTATGAAAAGCAAACACATAGAAATTATAATTTTATTATAGAACTAGAGGCCTGGTGCACAAAATTTGTGCGCTCGGGAGGGGGGTCCCTCAGCCTGGCCTGCACTCTCTTGCAGTCTGGGAGCCCTTGGGGGATGTCCGACTGATGGCCTCCATCAGGGAGCAGGCCTAAGCCTGCAGTCAGACATCCTTAGCACTGCCACGGAGGCAGGAGAGGCTCCTGCTACTGCCGCTGTGTTTGCCAGCCTTGAGCCCAGCTTCTGGTGCACTGACCACCAGCGGGCAGCTCCTGCATTGAGTGTCTGCCCCCTGGTGGTCAGTGCACATCATAGCGACCAATCATTCCGATGTTTGGTCGATGCATATTAGCCTTTTATTAAATAGGACTAGAGGCTTGTTGCATGAAAAAATTCATGCAGCAGGCCTTCCCTTCTCCGGCTGCCAGCACCGGTTTTCCTCTGGCACCCGGGACCCAGGCCTTCGCTCAGGCCAGAGCCACCTTCAAGCCTTGCTGCCCCGCCCCGGGTCAGGCCACACACGGAACGCCTGCCGCCCGGGGTTGCAGATAGCAGGCCCAGATGGCGGCAGGGCAGGTGGGATGGCGCTGTCCCACCCTGCCTGCAGTATGCAAATTAGCCACCATCTTTGTTGGCGGTTAATTTGCATATCATGTTGATTAGCCAATGGGAGGCGTAGCGAAGGTATGGTCAATTATCATGTTTGTCTGTTATTAGATAGGATTATATAAGTGTTAAGTTTAATTTTAGAAAGTATAACAATGTACATCTAGAAAGCTTATTAAAAGTGTAGATTCCTAGCCCCATCTACAGACTCATTAATTTGAGTATAGGGATAAATTTGTTCTTTTAACAAGCACCTCAGGTGATGTTCATGTAGGTGGTTTGCAGAATACACATTGAGAAAACAGGTGTGAGAATTTTTCAGAAATAGAAAAGATGACAAAAAAACAGATCCCAATTACTACCAGGAGACAGACTGAAGGACTCTATTTTTATCCCTCTACTTCTACCCCCAAGTGTTTCATATAATAAGCATTCCTGAAAATGAAGAATATAAACTTTTCTAAAATTAAAAAATCAGTGGCTCCTAGATCATGACCCAAAGAGAGCAGACTGTTACTCTGTTTCACATACTTCAAATTGTTTCATGAAACATTTATTAAGAATGACATTTGGCTAGGAACTATACTGGAAGCTTTCACTTATATAATCTTAATATTCCCAGGATTCCTGTGACATTCCCATTGTAGTAATTAGGAAAGAATACTTTTGACTTCAATAACAGAAATCAAGTTTAAAGTGGTTTAAACCAAAGGAAAAGAGACAGAACAAGAGCAGAAATCCAAAGGTGTAGGATTGACTTCAAGGTTGGTTGAGCCAGTCACTGAAGAATGTCGTTCAGGACTTAAGTTTTTGTCCATCTCTGCTTTGCCATCTAAAGTGCCAACTTCACCCTAAAGCTGATTCTCCTCTTGGTCATAGGATAGCTCCTGATTACAGAGATGTTATCCTCTTATTCACATCCAGGAGGAGAGCTTGCTGGCTTTTCATAATTCTTCCGGAATAGTAAGGGCCTCACTTTAAATTAAATTAAGCCCAAATTAAATTAATGGGACTTAGACTAGTATTTTTCAATGTGTGTTTATTATTCACTCAAGGAGTCTTTTTAGACATTTTCTTCCTAAACACCCCTTCCCCATGCAATTTTAAGAACATAGATATTATTATATGTCTGCTTTATACATAAAAGAGTAATTTGATCATCCCAACCTCAAAATGCATGGTCTAGAGACTAATTCAGGACACCCCTGGAACTGTGGATGGGATCAGCCTTCCTTGGAGCACATGTCCATGTGTGGGAGGTATGGATACAGAGCAAAAATGTGAGTTCTGTTAGGATGAAGAAAGTAGTAAGGAATGGATTCTGGATAGGCAAACAACAGTGGCCACCATTCAAGCTGAGAGAGAGAACAGATAATTTGTATTGGTAAGTGGTAAAATCAATTCAGACCAGGATTTCTAACTTCAACTGCAGTGCTGTAGCCACTAAAACTTAGTTATCCATTTTTAGTTTGTCTTGGAGGTAACGTCAACAATGAAGAGAATCTTGAGAGAGGCAGTTATGGATTCAAATAGCGATTCTGTACTTACTAGTACTGGTTGTGTGGAAAAATCACTGGAGGAGCTCTGTGAACTTTATATTCTTCATCTTTAAAAGAGAGATTATAATTTCTTGAATACCAGACTGTTAGAAGGATTAAATAAGCTAAACATGTAAAACAACAAGAAAAATGCTTTTGTAAATGTTAGTTCCTTTCCATTATCATTTTTTTCTTTTCTTTTTTTTTCTAAATATATTTTTATTGATTTTAGAGAGGAAGGAAGAGGGAGAGAAAAAACATCCATGATGAGAGAGAATCATGGATCGGCTGCCTCCTGCAAGTCCCCCACTAGGGATTGAGCCCACAACCTGGGCACGTGCCCTTGACTGGAATCGAATCTGGGACCCTTCAGTTCACAGGCCGACGCTTTATCCTCTGAGCCAAACTGGCGCAGTGGTCGGCAAACTCGTTAGTCAACAGAGCCAAATATCAACAGTACAACGATTGAAATTTCTTTTGAGAGCCAAATTTTTTAAACTAAAACTATATAGATAGGTACATTGTTATTAACTTAATTAGAGTACTCCTAAGGCTTAGGAAGAGCCACATGTGGCTCGTGGGCCGCAGTTTGCCGACCATGGGCTGCTAGGGCATCATTTTTCTTTTTGAAAAAATTAAGTAAGGCTTAGGAATTCATGGTCTAAAAATATATATTATTACTAGAACTTGCAAAACTATTTATTTGAAATTCATCCCTACTCCCTTTCAAAAGTTGTTTATTTTTTACAGAATGAATACTGTAGTTAGCATACTTTAGTAATTGTCACATCCACAACTTCAGGAAGATGACAACTCTCTACACTGTAAGCTCTGTAAAGATGGGAGGGAAAGTGTATTTTCAATGATTTGTGATGTGTGCCAGTTGCAGAGAAGCTGAATGTTGAGTATAAAGAAAGTTTATAAATTGCTTTTAGTTTTGTGGTTATGACCTTCTGGTCTGATATGAATTTTCATCTATTCTTTATTTTCTAGGACAAATCTATTAGCACTAGTTTACCTGTCCTAGATTTAATAGATGCCATTGCACCAAATGCAGTTCGTCAAGAAATGGTAAAGAGAGAAGACTTTTCTGATGAAGACAAGTTGAACAATGCTAAGTAAGCTTTTATTATTTGTATTAGAACATAGTGGCTCTTTAAATTCTTAAATCCATACAGGTGAGGTTAATATGTCCTTAAAATTCACATTTTTAAATACAACTTGTAAAGGAAATATGATTTAACTACTCATAACCTTAACTTTTTTGTAAAGTTAAATCTTATAAAAAATATTTCATTCTTTTATTAACGTATATTAAGTGAAAACACAGTAGATAACAAATAAGATATTTTTCTTGTTTTTTAAAGATACGCCATTTCAGTTGCTCGAAAGATTGGTGCCAGGATATATGCCTTACCTGACGACCTCGTAGAAGTGAAACCAAAGATGGTCATGACGGTGTTTGCATGCTTAATGGGAAAAGGACTGAACAGAATAAAATAAACATTTAATATGATTTTCTGCCACATTAACACATTGAATGCCTCACAGTTTACAGAATTCTGAAATGTAGTAGGTATAAAAGCAAAGATTACTTGTATGCTCAAAACAATTATAAAATTCATTAATGAATTCAATATCCTATTCATGCTAGTTAGAGTTTGTCGAACTTTTTGGATAACACAATTAATTTACTAGTATTTACTGATAATAGAATATGTTCATCATCAAGCCGATAATTTGCGATTAAATTATTTTCATTTCCAGAAAGTCTCATTAAAACAAGACTAATTTATTCTTTTTCATGGTTCAGAAAGATCAATACAAAATTTTTTTTGCAAGTCCTGTGAAATGTATTTTGATTTGTGTTAATTTTAATCATAAATACATTAAAAGTCATAATTCAGTTTCATCACTTTGTTTTTTCCCTCTATGTGCAGTGGTCTAAGCTTTAACTTTTCTGTAAATTTCTATATTGTCTAAAACTTTTAAGTGATCCCATCGCTGCCACAAAAAACAAACAAAAAACTTTTAAGTGACAAGTATTGTTCTAGCAACATTAAATTTTTTTACATATGAGAACTAACTCCTGAAGAAATCCCAAAGTTTATTCTCTTAGGTAAGAAGCCAGAGCTTTTTACTTAAAACTTAATTTCAACTCCATTCATACTTTATATATGCTAGTTTGGTAATGACAGGCAGCATACATATGTTGGCAGGATGTTATTAGGGAAATATGTGTGTGTATGTACATATTTTGCACCAAATTACCTGAGTTTTCTTAAATGGTATGTATAATTGGTAAGTCAGCCAATCAATAAGTATTTATTGTGCCCCCACTGTGTGTACTTTTCAGTTTGTAGCTATTTGGTACATGAAAATTTCTTTTAGAAATATTCATTTTTGATGTGCATATGGTAATTTGTGACTGACTTCTTCCAGATATTTAGAGCCAAACATTGGCTAGAGGATTTCAAGATATGTTGATGCTATAATGTTAGCTTCATGTTACAGATGCTAATTTTGATCTCTACTGAAGCCCTAAATAATTTAGAACATGCCTACTGAATCTCTTTAGCAGAAAGTAACACAAAGTATTTTTTAACATAGAGCATTTTCATGTTTTTTTTCTGCAGCCTCCTACAAGTTGGCAATGTTTGGTGAATGCTTGTGATACTTAGGAACAACTAAGTCTGAGAACTATTTTTGTCTGAATTTTTAGGAGTGGAGAGATTTTTTATTAACAGTTGAATTCAGAAATCTGCTTTATTCATCTTCCACTGTCAGTACCTGTGAAACTGCTGTGCAACAAAAATACTGTCACTTTATGTCAGTATGAATGAGAAGTCTAACTTCCCTTTTTACCATGTGTTTAGAATTTTTAACTGAAATTATGAACAGGTGGAACTATCAAGTATATTCTTCTACAAGAGAGATTTCTTTTCCTTTTATATTTTGATGATTTTTCCCCCTATATGATGATTAAGTTATGTTCTTGCTCTTTTGTGAGATTATTTAAATCATGTTTCCCCTTTTTGATTTTTTTCACCATATATTTACTAAGTTATCTGATTTACATGAAATTTAGCACTCCAGGGTGTTCTTTTTCTCACAAAGTATATTTAATAAAAATTCTGTGTATGTACAAATGTGTCAGTATTTATTTTATTTAAATCAAAATATAGAACCCTGAAAATTATATATATAAAAGCCTGCAACCTTTGTGGCAGGATTTAGGATCTGTGGGGGGGCCAACGCACAAATGAAAATGCTATACAAGAAATATGAATTTGGAAGGCATTATGGGCCAGGTGGAGCCTCTTTTTTGAAGAGAGACACCGACTTCTGGCCTGGTCCGCTATTTATTTACTTGAATACACATTTTCCCTTTAGCAATGCATACTGTCATATCAAGGATAAAGGTTGGTAAACAGTAAAAGGATTATCAGGTTATCGCTTCTCGGCCTTTTGGCTAAGATCAAGTGTATCAGGTTAGGGAATTGCCTTGAGCCACCACTATCTCAACAGACGAGGTGCTTAGTGTCAGCCCTGCTAACACACAAGGTCCATCGGCCTTCTGCATTCCTTGGTGACAATATTGGCAAGCAGTGGCTTCCCGCATCTCCCCCTTTTTGTTTTCTTAATAAATCTTGAAAAGTGTGTGCAGTCTGTAGGGCTTGATTCCTTTTAACACTCTTCATTCCACATCTGCAGACTAGAAATAAACATATAAGAACAAGAATGAGACAGACAATAGTGGTTATGCTAAAAAGTCAGATGTAGGGAGATCCAATGAAAAGGATTGAGTTTTTTCATGACCTTTTTAAATTGCTGCCAGGCATCTAAGAAACTAGTTCCTAGTAGGCTCCTTTCTGGGCCATCAGTTCTTTATGGGTCCCCTTCTCAATCACCGTCCCCTGTGACATGACAGCAATGATATTCCAGTTCTGGATGGTGGACAAATGGTGGGCAATGAAAATGCAGGTCCAACCTTCTCTGGCTTTGTCTAGGGCACCCTGTACCATTGCACAACTGATGACTGCTAGCATGGCCAGGAAAACATTCTTAGGTGTTCTCGGGGTTCTTGTTCTGGACTGTCTTCTTTACCATCCCCCAGGTCATCTCCAGACTGTTTCTCATCTGTATTGTTCTCCTCCCAATTCTTTTTTTTTTTTTTTAATATATTTTATTGATTTTTTACAGAGAGGAAGGGAGAGAGATAGAGAGTTAGAAACATCGATGAGAGAGAAACATCGATCAGCTGCCTCCTGCACATCTCCTACTGGGGATATGCCTGCAACCCAGGTACATGCCCTTGACCGGAATCTAACCTGGGACCTTTCAGTCCGCAGGCCGACGCTCTATCCACTGAGCCAAACCGGTTTCGGCTCCTCCCATTTCTTTATCTTCAACGAGTTGCTTGGGGCTACTGCTATCTGTGGCTGGAGTAGTCGTTTGTCTGAAGGGATTTTCTGGAAATACCCAAGCATATCCTCAACCAAAGGTTAACAAAGGGTTGGGACCCTTCCATAAACCAGACTCAGGATTTTTCCATTTAACCAAACCATTTTCCTTTGGTTTATTCTGACACCAATGTAATGCCATAGGTGTCTTGCCATCAGCATTACAAGTGAAAAAATTTAAGATAATTAAGGCTTGGTGTAGTCTACTACAGAAGATTTCTCCAGCATCACTATTCTCCCTTTTTGTTTTTCAAGTTGGGATTATAGCCACTGATGTTGGCATTCTATAATGATGGTATTCCCGTAATGTGCCTGTTGTAATAAAGTATGCATTTCCTTTTGTTAAAGGACCAGGCAGGGTGGTATGAGCCCTGATATGAGTAATATAAAAGGGATATTGTCTTTGCTGTACAATTTGCTGTACCTGTTTAAATAGTATAAATAGACTTTGGTCAGTGAGCCATTTTAATTGAGCAATCTCAATTTTGTTTACCAGGCCAGCAGCAAAGGCAAAAATCAGAAATAATAAGAGGCTCTTGGAAATTCTGTAGTGCAGCCTTGATAGCCTCTAATTCAGTCCTTTGTATAGAAGTGTGACTAGTCTGGATGACAGTCTGAATCCATTGCATGATAAGCAGCTTTACCATTAGACAAAACATCAGTAAAAATAGTTAATGCTCCAGGAATAGGTTCCTGTCTAGTATTTTTTGGTATAAATAATAGGGGTGTAATATAAAAATTGTAGTGATTTGTTTTTTAGTAGGTGACAAGTAACTTCTCCTGAATATTCACTTATTTCAATTTGCCAATTTAAATTAGTCTGAAATAAGGTTTATTTTCTAACTTCATTTGTTCTTGGGTGTGGACAGCAAATGACACTAGTTGGATTTTCTGCTATCAGTCTCCTTGAGTATGTTGACATAAACTATTTACCCTTTATTTAGGGAGGCAAAATGCAAATTATTTATTCTTTAAATGTCCTTGGTTTAGGAAAGATAGGATTTACTAGATGGTCCCAAACCACTTGGCATTTATATTTTTTAGATGTTTGCAAACTGCTATTATATGCTGTATTTGCCATCTCACTGCTCGAGTGAGGTGAGCCATGAAATTAGAAAATGATTCTATAGGTCTTTGCATACACTTAATAAAAGCTTCCTTAGGATTCCCTAAGTATATTGAATAAATTTGTCATTTCTTCCTTAGAGATTTTTAGATAAGGTCTTAATGTTTCCTAATAATTTCTATAAGTCATTTAAAGTTTTAAGGCAATCCTTTTGTATTTCTACCTTTTGAGGCCTAATATACTGATTTTTAATTACAGTTCCTAGCTATTTGAGGGGCATTTCCCTCTGTATTTTTTCCAAAGCAACCTCTAAGCCCCATTTAGGGAGTTTCTTTTGTAACTGGGTAAGCATTGCTAAAGTCTGCTTTTCCTGTGGGCTTGCCATAAATTGCTACATTAAAGATTTTGACTTTCTTTTAAGCAGAACAACTAACTTGGTGTCTCCCAGAAAAACAAGTAGGGGAGAAACATGCTGGCCAATACTGCAATGCACACATTTCAAGTAAAAGTAACTTTCTTTTTACTTACGGTGAGGCAACAGGTGTGGGGTGTGATCGCTTGGCTGTGAGCAATAGGCGTGGGGTGTGATCACTTGGCTGGCCTGGGCCTCCCTCTGCAGGGTGATCACTGGCCAGCCCCATGATGGTGAGATTTAATGCTTGAATTAATGGTGAGGTTTAATGCTTGAATAATAACTTTTAGTTTACTTTTTAAATAGTAGTGGAAGAGATTTTAAAATTTCTTATTTTTAAGCTTAAATTTACTTTTAAACAGCATTCTTTTTGGCTAGTGCTCATTTGCATATGTATGCAAATTTTATTTTGGACTTTAGTAGAACCAGTTCCTCATAAAATATTGGCTTCACATATAAATGAGTTTATATGAGACTTTGATTATATTGTGAAAAGCTAACTTATTAAGTAATTAAAGTAGGCACCTTTATTGAAAAAGTGAAGTAAGCAAACTTATGTATTTGACCCATGAAGTACAGGAGCCACCCTACTCCCCCCCTCCTCCCCCCAGCCAATCTGAAAAGCAGGGCTGGGTGGGGGTCTGAGGCATTATGTGTTTTCCTGTTTTGAAATTTCACTGCTGAATATTCTGGTTTTGCTTAAGAAGTATTCAGCAACCTTGTCCTGCTAAGCTTAGAGGCTGAAACCTTTATAACATTTAAAATATCTATAATAATAAAAATGTAATATGCAAATCGACCAAACGACCGAACAGCATCTGACGACCTTCCAGACGACCACACTATGACACGCACTGGTGCCAGGCCAGCTAAGATGGGTGCAATGCGATTGGGCAGGGGGCCCTGCCATCACCCCATGATCACCCCGCAGAGGAAGGCCCAGGACACCAGCCAGTGATGCTGTGGCAGGTGTGCGGGGCTGGCCAGTGGTCACCCTGCAGAGGGAGGCCCAGGCCAGCCAAGCGATCACACCCCACGCCTGTTGCCCACAGAGGGAGGTGACAGGTGGCAGGGGAGGGGGGGGCAGTGTTGCACAGATGGCAAGCAGTGGTAGTGGTGGGGTTGAGGCCAGCTGCCAGCATCCTGGGGAAGGAAAGCCTCAATAGGCCCTGATCACTAGACAGGTCTAGGGACCCTACCTGAGGGGTCCCGGATTGCAAGAGGGTGCAGGCCGAGCAGAGTGACACCCTTCTCTCCCACCCCCCCCCCCCCCCGCATGAATTTCGTGTACTGGGCCTCTAGTATGTATATAAATAGAACACAGTTATTAATTTTTATTTGACAAAGCTTCTCACGTGATTTCAAGTATATTAGATCGGCCTAATTTTGAATCATTCCAGGGCCCTTGAAATGTCCCAAAGCTATCTCTCAGTTAAAGTCTTGAAATTTAACTTGGAAAGACTATTAAATATACAGAACCCAAAGATTATTTTATCATTTTTTGTCATTCTAAAAGATATCAATTAAATTAAACTGGTTTTAATATTAAAAATTTGGTTCAGACCATAGAATTAATCCTCCTTTTTTAAAAAATATATTTTATTGATTTTTTTACAGAGAGGAAGGGAGAGGAATAGAGAGTTAGAAACATCGATGAGAGAGAAACATCGATCAGCTGCCTCCTGCACACCCCCCACTGGGGATGTGCCTGCAACCAAGGTACATGCCCTTGACTGGAATCCAACCTGGGACCCTTCAGTCTGCAGGCTGATGCTCTATCCACTGAGCCAAACCGGTCAGGGCTAATCCTCCTTTTTTATCAGGCCAATAAAATATTATATACCTAGGTTGAAATTTTACCACATATAGTAGACAGACACACATACACATAAAGACTATAATATATTTTGAACTTCTAATTTTCAGAGAAAACGCAAGAATTATTTTTTTCAAAAATGAATTTCTATACTTCATGCATTTACTATCACAACCATAATTTCTCCCAACTTAATTCGAACTTTTAACTCTTAAAAGCCTCAGGTGGCAAGTTAAATACTTAGCATTTTTCTGATTAGTAATATATTCATATTTTTAGCATATATTTCAAATAAAGTACAAGACATATTCAATTAATAGATTCAAATCTATCCTTTAGAATTTTCATATGAGGCAAACTCAGATTAATAT